TCCCTCTGTGACTGTCAAGCTTCTGCATGACTGAACACCCTCGTGGACTCCAGGAGGTCCTCCCTGCCTGGGCTGCCAGAAACAGACTGCTCAGAGATTCTCAGGTCCAGGCCCATCGCCTAGAATTCTCTCCCCTCCAGTCCTACACTGTCCCAAGCAGTGATCTTCCCTCCCAGTCTCTGGCCTGTATCTCCTGTGACACCTGCTCCCTCTCTCTCTCTCTGTACAGCTCAATCAATGTCACCTGAGGGCCCACAACAGCATGGAACAGAGAGGATCCAGCAGGTCATCCCCATGACAGGAGCCATCTGCCACCCAGACTGTAAGACTTGTAATGGTAAGACTTGGTCCAACGATATCATGTTACTGCAGGTGGGACGCATGGCTGCACTAGCTCTGGGACACTTTCCTCCCAGGGCTCTGCATCCCCCTGACCTCATTTCTGCCCTTCCTCCTGTATAACCCCTTCTGTGGTGCGAGCACTGAGAAGAGGGTAACCCCACGACTGTCCTGCAGTCTCTGTGGCCATCAGTAGGTGAGACTGCCTTTCCTCTTCTTCAGCTGATGATGCTGACTTGACAGATGCAGTGAGCCCGATCATCTGCCCAGAAGCTGGTGAAGCTGAAGCCAGATATAATGTGCAGTTTGGCCAACTGGGGGCAACTTGGGGTAGATAAGCCCTGTGCAGACAAACTACAGGAGGTAGATCTTAAAATCCAAAGGGAGAGGAAATGTATCACTTGCTATGCTACAGATCCAAACAAGAGGAAGAATTATTTCTCGGTGAGATCCCAAGTGTTGTCTATGCAAAACCTTGGGTCAGCTGAGCTGGGAGGATGGGTGGCAGTGGGAATGAACCCCGTCCCTGTGTCCCCAGCCTGCCCTCCTATCTGCTCTCTGTCCTGTGTCCCGGGGGGTGAACACTGCCCCACAGTCATATATGGGCAGGGGCTTCCTGTGGGAGAAGCAGAAAGATTGTCAATGCCTTGATGAAACCTCAGGACCAACAAGGCCCTGATGTCAGCCCAGGCCCCTCACAGATACCAGCCTGGGCATCAGTGGGGAGAATAACTGAAGAAGGTGGGCTCAGCCCTTGCTCTCACTGCTCACAGGGTGAGTCTGGGGGCCCACTCGTGCGTAATGGTGTTGCCCAGGGCATTGTGTCCTGTGGAGAAGAGTATGGGAGGACTCCAAATGCCCACACCAGAATCTCCAGCTTTCTGTCCTGGATCCAAACAACAGTGAGACAGTACAAATGGCAGGGATCAGCCTGAGGTGCCCCTGGGATGGACCCCTCCATCTTCCCTGGAATGGGTGCACTGGGCAAAGTGGGTGAAGGAGCGCTGCCTGGAATTTAATAAACTTTCATCTCTTGAGCAAAAATCACTGATTCCTCTTTTATTTACTTAAACACATTTGTTAGGCACTTACTCTGTCAGGCAACCATCTAGTCATATCTGATCTTCTTCCTCCAGCACATACACCGCACCCCACCCCCACCTTCCAACTCTGAACTAAAAACTCCTGCTGTACCGACAGCCAGCTCCCTCCAGTCATGTCCCCAGAGATAGTCCCCTTGCAGGCTGCCCGTGAACTCCATCAGAAAAGGGAGACCCCTCCTCAGGAACACACGACCCTCTTGTTAAAAATCCTCATGTCTCATCCATATGCCCTCCTCCTCTTCCACACCAACTCTCTTATCCCCTATCCCAGTGCCCAGGGGGCAACAGAAGAGAATCCAGATTTGGAAGGAGGGCCACTTGCAAAGCTCTGGGGCTGAGGCGGGTTCTTGTCCATCCTAACAGAAATGGGGGAGGTTTACAAAGGTAAACTCACTGAATGCAGTCCCTCCCCACATCAGAAGAGACAGAGGTGAGAAGTCTGAGAAAGTTTCAGTAGGGCGTCAGTATTTCCAGGCCCAGCTCGAGTGCCTGTCACAGCCCTGTCTTTGGGTCCTGGGTCCAGGGCTCTATGCAGCTTTTCGTGTCTGGACAGCACATCTTTCTTCAGCCCCAAGTGACCTTGAGGGAGCTCTTCCATCTTAGGCTGAGCCAGCCTTTCCCCACCTCCATTATTCCCATGTGTGTGTGTATATAAATACATTTATCTCTAAAGGAAACTCATTGTAATAAAAAGTTTTGGATTCAGGGGTATCCTAATGTGTCAAAGGTTTCTTATAACCTATAGGTCAGGAAGCAACAGTTAGAACTGGACATGGAGCAACAGACTGGTTCCAGATAGGAAAAGGAGTACATCAAGGCTGTATATTGTCACCCTGCTTATTTAACTTGTATGTGGAGTATATCATGAGAAACACTGGGCTGGAAGAAGCACAAGCTGGAATCAAGATTGCTGGGAGAAATATCAATAACCTCAGATATGCAGATGACACCACCCTTATGGCAGAAAGTGAAGATGAACTAAAAAGCCTCTTGATGAAAGTGAAAGAGGAGAGTGAAAAGGTTGGCTAAAGCTCAACATTCAGAAAACTAAGATCATGGCATCCGGTCCCATCACTTCATGGGAAATAGATGGGGAAACAGTGGAAACAGTGTCAGACTTTATTTTTTTGGGCTCCAAAATCACTGCAGATGGTGATTGCAGCCATGAAATTAAAAGACGCTTACTCCTTGGAAGGAAAGTTATGACCAACCTAGATAGCATATAAAAAAGCAGAGACATTACTTTGCCAACAAAGGTCCGTCTGGTCAAGGCTATGGTTTTTCCAGTGGTCATGTATGCATGTGAGAGTTGGACTGTGAAGAAAGCTGAGCCCTGAAAAATTGATGCTTTTTAACTGTGGTGCTGGAAAAGACTCTTGAGAGTCCCTTGGACTGCAAGGAGATCCAACCAGTCCATCCTAAAGGAGACCAGTCCTGGATGTTCATTGGAAGGACTTATGCTGATGCTGAAACTCTAATACTTCAGCCACCTCATGCGAAGAGTTGACTCATTGGAAAAGACCCTGATGTTAGGAGGGATTGAGGGCAGGAGGACAAGGGGGCAACAGTGATGGATGGCTGGATGTCATCACCGACTCGATGGGCCTGAGTTTGAGTAAACTCCGGGAGTTGGTGATGGACAGGGAGGCCTGGCATGCTGCGATTCATGGGGTGCAAAGAGTCAGACATGACTGAGCTACTGAACTGAACTGAACTGATAGGTTATTGACTCAATTTTTCCCTCTATTTATCAATAATCTATGAATTTTTTATCTACGAATGTACTCGGGAAAGTTACTAATTTTTAAAACATGCAGCTCACGGAAGGCTAGGCTGAAGGGGAGTGATTTGCTGAACATTTGCATCGTTAGTGAGTTTTGACTGTGGCAAAATGTATTTTGGATGGAAGAGCAACAGACATCATAGTTAAATATGGAACATATAAATAAGAAAGTTAAAAGAAGTGCAGAATTCCATCATCATCAGATCATCATTAATGCTTAAACATGTTTCCTTTTGCTCTTTTTCTATTTGTTCACAAGATGTTGTTCCTTCAGTTCACTTGAGATTGGGTTGTATAGAACTCCTCATGCTGTCCTTTCCATTCCTCTTACTGCTGTCCTCATAGTGGTGAGAGTGTTGGGGTCATCTGCACATGTTTACAATGGCCTGGCCCAGGGTTATCTGAGGCATGGTTCTCTGGACACTGGACAGAGAATACTTCGTGGGGAGGTATTACTAGATTGAGCAGCATCTGTATCTCTTTCATCACTCACCAGTCACCAGCATGTTTGGAGAGGAAGCCCCTTCCCACTCATGAGCACTCTGATTTGGGTGGAAGAGCCCCCATCTCAGCCTGAGGGATGCTCAGTGCCAAAGTTCCCAGGAATGGTTTGTGTTGGTCCAGTGAGTATCAAGTCCAGGACTTTTGTGCAGAACTGTGGGATAAGAAAAGCTCCCTATGTTGTGAAATATTTACATTTAAACAGGCAATTCTAAACACTCCAAAAATATGAGGCTAGAATGGTAATAGGATAGGAAATGGGATTGCTGTTTGGGGCATTTGGGTGTGTCCAGGGTACCTGCTCATAAGGCAAGTCCAGGCTCTGCCTTCTCACGTGGCGCCAAGCAGACCCCCTTGTCTTGGTCCTCACCATCTTTCTCTCTACCCACAGATGCTAAGTCTACCTCTGCCTACTGTCAGCTTCTCAAGGGCAGGAACTGTGTCTCTCAGATCCCTGGGCCTTGCTGTTGAGTAATTACTCATGATCTCATCAGAATCATAAAAGAACCAGCAGTGGGGAGATGGAGACAATCTCCACCCAGTCACTGAGGTGCTCCTGGAGTCCGGCCCCTCTGCTGCTCTAGTATGGCAGAATCCTTGCCGTCTGTTAGATTAGTGACTAATGGGGCGTGGGATTCAAGTTTTAATTATACATGATGGCCCATCTCTGGAATCCTGCCTCCCAAGTAATGAGCATTGAGCTAAAATGCCTTTGTTTACAACACAGGACACATCCTGGTCAGGCCCACCAAGGAAAGACTGCAGGACAGAGGAGACCGACACAGCCTCTCTGGAGGCTGACGGGAACCAAGGAACGTTTGGTGCTACTCCCTCCTCTATCACAGTGTAAAAGAAGCCTGAATTCTAACTCAGGCAAGACGGTTCCTTGGGCCTCAAGTCCACCATCTTCTTGGTCTGCTGGCTTTCCAAGTAGAGTCACTATTCCTCACCCAGACAAGTCATCTCTCTGTTTACTGACCTTCTGTACAGCAGGGAGCCTGGACTTGGTAACGCTGACTGCACCCCAGCCTCCACTTTCCTGTTGTTCCTCTTGCTTTGTGACTCAGCAGTGGGAGAGCAAGTGTGGTGACTGCCATTCTCACCTATCCCACAGCAGAGAACACGGGCACACGTGGCGTGCTCACACCTGGCTGGGGGTGCGCAGCTCTGGGAGGTCTGTGGGGTCACTGAGCCTCCCCTCCTTCCTTCCTCTATGCTTTGTGTCTGGAAGGAAGAAATCCCAGCAGCTGTGACCTGAGCAGATCTTCTGAAAGATGCAGCCACTCCTGCTCCTGATGGCCTTTCTTCCGCCTCCTGGGCTGGGACAGGTGAGTGAATGTCCCCATTCCTGAGGGCAGAACCCATCTCACTAAACCTCCCACAGGCCTGACCCTCTGCTCAGCTCCAATTTCTGAACCAGCTCCCATCCCAACCAAGACAAGTTTGATGCCACATAGACACTTAGCAAGGAGAGATGGCAGACTGGAAGAAAGATTTTCATTAAGAGCTTTCATGGGTCTCAGACTCTCTCTCACCACCAGGAAAGTGGGTTGTGCATTGGCAGAGAATGTGAAGCTACAAAACATGAGTAAGTAAAATCCCTCAGTCCAGCCAGGAAAGGACAACTCAGACAAATAATCCACAGTTCGGGAGTTTTTGGTAGACCCAGCTTAAGAACCAGAGAAAACTTCTCAGTGCTTCTCACCCTTCACTCCTGCTAGGAGAGAAGTCCAGGGTGACTGATCAGAAGTGGCTAGGTGACATCACCCAGAGCCTTCTAGGTGCCTTGACTCTTCTTCAGGCCCCAAGAAGTCCATTTTCTGCCCCAGCTCCCCTTGCCTCTCAGGCCCGCAGCTGCCCAACTGATTTAGCAGTGCCCTCCCCCATCCCTGTGGTCTTGAATCCCACCAGTACTATCTCGACCAATCTCAGCCAAAAGCTAATAGGAAGCCATTTACTCGTGCAGCCAAAAACAACAACAACAACAACAAACATTTACTGAGAGCCTGGGATGTATTAGGCTCAAGGACATGAGGATTTTACAAAATCCACCTCTATAAGCTCCTAGTGCAAATTCACATTCAGTTCAGTTCAGTTCAGTCGCTCAGTCATGTCCAACTCTTTGCAATTCCATGAATCGCAGCACGCCAGGCCTCCCTGTCCATCACCAACTCCCGGAGTCCACTCAAACCCATGCCCATTGAGTTTGTGATGCCATCCAACCATCTCATCTTCTGTCATCCCCTTCTCCTCCTTCCCCCAATCCCTCCTAGCATCAGGGTCTTTTCCAATGAGTCAACTCTTCACATGAGGTAGTCGAAGTATTGGAGTTTGAGCTTTAGCATCAGTACTTCCAATGAATATTCAGGATTGATTTCCTGTAGGATGGACTGGTTGGATCTCCTTGCAGTCCAAGAAGACTCTCAAGAGTCTTCTGGAACACCATAGTCCAAAAGCATCGATTTTTCGGCGCTCAGCCTTCCTCACAGTCCAACTCTCACATCCATACATGACCACTGAAAAAGCCATAACCTTGACCAGATGGACCTTTGTTGGAAAAATAATGTCTCTTCTTTTTAATATGCTGTCTAGGTTGGTCATAACTTTCCTTCCAAGGAGTAAGCGTCTTTTAATTTCATGGCTGCACTCACCATCTGCAGTGATTTGGGAGCCCCCCCAAAATAAAGACAGTCACTGTTTCCACTGTTTCCTCATCTGTTTGCCATGAAGTGATGGGACCAGATGCCATGATCTTAGTTTTCTGAATGTTGAGTTTTAAGCCAACTTTTTCACTCTCTTCTTTCCCTTTCATCAAGAGGCTCTTTTATAGTCCTTCCTCGTTTTCTGCCATAAGGGTGGTGTCATCTGCATATCTGAGGTTACTGATATTTCTTTCTCCTGGCAATCTTGATTCCAGCTTGTGCTTCCCAGAAGAACTCTATCAAACATTTAGAGAATGTTTGATTAAAAACTCTTAAGCTCTTCTAAAACTGTTTTAAAAAATTGCAGAGGAAAGAACACTTCCAAACTCATTCTACGAGACCACCATCACCCTGATACCAAAACCAGAAAAAGACAACACAAAAAAAGAAAACTACAGGCCAATATCACTGATGAGCATAGATGCAAAAATCCTCAACAAAATTTTAACCAACAAAATTCAGCAACACATCAAAAAGCTCATACAACATGATCAAGTTGGATTTATTCCAGGAATGCAAGGATTCTTCAATATAGGCAAATCAATCTATGTGATACACCATATTAGCAAATTGAAAGATAAAAACCAAATGATAATCTCAATATATGCAGGAAAAGCCTTTGACAAAATTCAGCATCCATTCATGATTAAACCTCTTGAAAAAAATGGGCATAGAAGGAACCTACCTCCACATAGTAAAGGCCATATATAATAAACCTACAACAAACATTCTCAATATCTCTGTTTTTTAATATGCTGTCTAGGTTGNAGAGTTTCTCCATCTTTGGCTGCAAAGAATATAATCAATCTGATATCAGTGTTGACCATCTAGTGATGTCCATGTGTAGTCTTCTCTTGTGCTGTTGGAAGAGGGTGTTTGGTATGACAAGTGTGTTTTCTTGGCAAAACTCTATTAGACTTTGCTCTGCTTCATTCCATATTCCAAGTCCAAATTTGCCTGTTATCCAGGTGTTTCTTGACTTCCTACTTTTGCATTCTAGTTCCCTATAATGAAAAGGACATCTTTTTTGGGTGTTAGTTCTAAAAGGTCTTGCAGGTCTTCATAGAACCATTCAACTTTAGCCTCTTCAGTGTTACTTGGATTACTGTGATATTGAATGGTTTGCCTTGGAAACGAAAAGAGATCATTCTGTCATTTTTGAAATTCATCCAAGTACTGCATTTTGGACTCTTGTTGACCATGATGGCTATTCCATTTCTTCTATGAGATTCCTGCCCACAGTAGTAGATATAATGGTCATCTGAGTTAAAGTCACCCATTCATGTCCACTTTAGTTCACTGATTCCTAGAGTGTCGACATTCAGTCTTGCCATCTCCTGTTTGACCACTTCCAATTTGCCTTGATTCATGGACCTAACATTCCAGGTTCCTATGCAATATTGCTCTTTACAGCATCGGACCTTGCTTCTATCACCAGTCACATCCACAACTGGGTATTGTTTTTGCTTTGGCAACATCCCTTCATTCTTCTGGAGTTATTTCTCCACTGATCTCCAATAGCATATTGGGCACCAACTGACCTCAGGAGTTCATCTTTCAGTAGCTTATCAATTTGCCTTTTCCTACTGTTCATGGGGCTCTCAAGGCAAGAATTCTGAAGTGGTTTGCCATTCCCTTCTCCAGTGGACCACATTCTGTCAGACCTCTCCACCATGACCTGACCGTCTTGGGTGGCCCCACACAGCATGGCTTACTTTCATTGAGTTAGACAAGACTGTGGTCCTGTGATCAGACTGGCTAGTTTTCTGTGATTATGGTTTCAGTGTGTCTGCCCTCTGATGCCCTCTCACAACACCTACCGTCTCACTTGGGTTTCTCTTACCTTGCATGTGAAGTATCTCTTCACGGCTGCTCTAGCAAAGCTCAGCCACTGCTCCTTACCTTGGAAGACGGGTATCTTCTCACCGCCGCCCCTCCTGACCTTGAACGTGGAGTAGCTCCTCTCGGCCCTCCTATGCCCGTGCAGCAGCCGCTCCTTGGAGGTGGGGTAGCTCTTCTTGGCCGCTGCCCCTGACCTCGGGTGTGGGGTAGCTCCTCTAGGCCGCCGCCCGTCACCTCGGACGTGCGGAAGCTCCTCTGCGCCGCTCCTGCCCTGTCGCAGCCTGGCGCTCTCGGTCGCCACCCCTAACCTTGGGCGAGGTGTAGCTCCTCAAGACCACGCTTCTGCGCGGTCCGTCGCAAGTGGCTTAATTTCACAATATTCCTGGGAAAGCTCCCAGAAGCCCTGCACTCATGTCATTGAAAAGCACAAGACACAGTGTCACTCTCCCAGGGCTGTCTGTCACCTCAGTGTCCCCTCAGCTGCAGCCCTGCCCTGAGGTCGCCGCCCGTCCCACCTCCTGGGCCGCATCTCCTGTGACTCCACGCTCCTCCTACCTCTATTCTGTTCTCTGTGCAGCTCAGTCAGCGTCACCCTGGGGCCCACAGCGTCAAGAAGCAGGAGAGGGTGCCGCAGGGTCAAGTGCTTTTTTTTTCCCCCATGTAGAAAGACGTGCCTTATAAGACACCATAGTGCCATTTATTGTCCTAGCACCACTTATTGAGGAAGGGAAAAAAATAGTCTTCCTCATTCTCTGCCATAAAACCTCTATCATAAACCATGTTTGATATATGTGTCATTCTTTAATCACTAAGTCATGTCTGACTTTTGGGACACCATGGGCTATAGCCCACCAGGCTCCTCTCTCATGGGATTTCCCAGGCAAGAATACTGGAGTGGGTTGCCATTTAATTCACCATGGGATCTTCCCAGCCCAGGGATTGAACCTGGGTCTTCTGCAGTATTTGGTGGATTCTTTACTGTTGAGCCGCCTGGGTAGCCCTTGATATGTGTGTATCATTGACCCAGTATGTGTGGGGTCTCTTTTTCTTGCCCATTAGTCTATCTCCCTATGCTCCATCAATGCCACACCATCTTCATTACTATGACTTCATTTGCTAAAGCAAGACCTACCTTCTTGTTCTCATTCTTTAAGACTGCTTGGCTATTTTTGGTCATGGGTTTTTCCACATCTATTTTCCATGTCTATTTAGAACCAAGTAAGTTCTATGAAATACCTCTTGGGTGCAGTGAATCTATAGATCACTTTTTGGAGAAATGACATTTTAAAAATATTTTCTCTTCCAAACATGAACATGGAATATTTTTCTGTTTAAATCTTCTAAGTGTCTCTTAATAAATGTATATAACTTTCACCATATCTTTTCTGTAGGTTTATATTTACTTATCTGACAATTTTCATGTTTTAATTTTTTTCAAATTTCATTTTCTGACAGTATAACCATGTATATGGAATATGACTGATATTTAAATTTATTCTGTGCCTAGAAAATTTGTCAAACTATCTTAGTAATCATAAAAATTGATCTGGAAATTCTTGGGCATTCTATATGTATACTATATCTCAAATACTCAGTTTTATTTCTTCTTTTTCTGTCCTTGTTTCTATAAATAGAAGCTTTCCTTCTATTTCCTGCTTAACTGTTCTGGCTAAAATCTCTCATATGATGTTGAAGGGAAATGATGATTATGGCTATCTGTGTGACCTTGTATTGTTTTGCTCTCAAATGGAAAAACATTCAACACTTCATCATTAAGTATAATGATTCGCATGGGATTTTTGCAGAGACCTTTTATCAGAATAAAAAGCCTCTTTATTGTTCCTATTTTGCTAAGAATTTTTTAAAATAATTAACGGTGAATTTTAGCACATGACTTTTCCCCCTTCAGGTGAATTATCATATGGTGTTTCATCTTTCATCAGTCAACATGTTGTTATAGCAATTATGTGTGTGTGTTTTTAAAGACTTAAGCTACAACTTTGTTAATCAGACACACACCAAAATGATAATCAGGAAACAGCAATAGGTGTGGGAAGGGAAGAAACATATATATAGTAATTGTGTGTTGAATGAAAATCAACTCATCCTCAGAAAAACCCAAATTAGAAATGATCTAATATTTTTGCTTATTGACCAATTGGACTTATATCAATACTGGACTAACATTAGCCCATAATGTTCCTCTCCTATATTGTCATCACTGGGTTTGGCATCTAGGTTTTGCTAGTCTCATAAAGGAGATGTCTAGCATCTCCTTACCAGCAGAAATTGTATATCATTCTTGGAACTTTTTTTCACAGATTTCCAGTGAATCCCTGTGAGCCTGGGGCTGTCCTTGATAGACTATTTTTGAAAACTGAATCAAATTGTTTAATGTTCATAGGAAAATTCAAACTTCTTGAGTGTGTTTCATTAAGTTACATTTTCTAAGGATTTGTCAGTTTCATGTGTTGCTGTCCAGTCGCTCAGCCGGGTCTGACTCGTAGTCCTGTGGACTGCCACCAGCCAGGCCTGTCTGTCTATGGAATTTTCCGTACAAGAATACTGCAGGGGTTTGCCATTTCCTTCTCCAGGGAGTCTTCTCTCCCCAGGGATTGAACCCATCTCTTTCTCTCTTTTTTTTGAACCTATGTCTCTTGTGTCTCCTGCATTAGAAGGTAGATTCTTTACTGCTAATTTTCAAAATTACTGGCTTCCCAGTGACCTAGAAGTTAATATAGATATGATTTATATATATATATATATATATTTCCCAGATAAAAACTCTTTCTTAGTTCTCCCACCATGCGGCTGACTTTTCACTATCTCAATAGTGTCTTTGGTAATCAGAATTTTATCTTTATTCATATACACCCAACACATTTTTAGTGTAGATGAACTCATCCATTATTATTGATGGTTAGTGCTTCTTATATCTGTGTAATATACAATATTAATATTAATACAATATCTGTATCATATACAATATAATCTGTTTTTACCATGATGAGTGTATAAAGAAATTCTCCTATATTCAAAGGTTTAATTTTTTACCTTTCAATTAATTAATTTGAGGCATAGTGTTAAATGGTCATTTCATCTTTATTCTGATATACCCAACAAATTTTATTATAAATTAATCTGATTATTAATCATTTTGATATTTTTTTGTTTTCATTATGATTTTACTCATGATTTCCAGTTGGCCCTTGAACAGCATAGGAGATAAGGGGCACCGACTCTTCTGGTGGAAAATCTGGGTATAACTAACCTATAGTTGGCCCTCATGTTCTGTGGTTTTGCAACCAACCATGGAGAGCTCAGTAGTCTAGCATTTACTATTGAAAAAAAATCAGTGTATAAGTAGACCTGTTCAGTTCAAACCACTGTTGTTCAAGGAACCACTGTATTTAGCAGTCTATTTCCTTAGTTTTTAAGATATAAGGATTTCCTGCTCATATTCTTGTTATGAAATTCAGTTTAAACTCATTGTGGCATATTAAATTTGATGTATCATTTAAATCCTTTAAACACTTTTGAGACCTAATCTATGGCTTAATCTATGGTCAACATCTGTATGTGCTTGTCAAGTGTGTAATCTGCTTTTGTTGGGTAAGATGTTCATTATGTATTCATTTTTTCATTAGCTATTCATAACTTCTATATCACTGAAGTGAAATGAAAGTGAAAGTCGCTCAGTCGTGTCAGACTCTTTGTGACCCCACGGACTATACAGTCCATGGAATTCTCCAGGCCAGAATACTGAAGTGGATAGCCTTTCCCTTCTCAAGGGGATCCCAACCCAGAGATCCAACTCAGCTCTCCTGCATTACAGGCAGATCTTTTCCAGCTGAACCACAGAGAAACCCATTACTAATCTATGGCATTACTAATCAATTTATAAGATAAGTTTTAAAATATTCCCAAATGACATGAAGATATTTCTTCCTGGGGAGCATCCACTCCCTGCTGCTGTTGAAAAGAAGTGGGAGCAGCAAGGGTCTGAGTGGGGCTCAGGACCAGGGGGAGAAGACACCCAGGTTCCATTTCCCGAGGGAGAAGGAGGAAGTAGACAGGTCCCAGACCTGGTGCCTATGAGGACATTATTGAATGTGGTGGGTTTGGGGTTCTGGGGCACAGTGCCCAGCACCCACCCCACCCACCCCACCCAGTGCCCTGGGCTCCCATTTCTGTGGCCAGCACTGACTCAGCAGCTGTGCAGGCTATTGCACTGAAGGCTTCGGTTACTGCCTTCCCCCAGGTCCCTGGCAGTTGGTGGGCAAGCCTCTTGGGCAGCTCTGGGTGATGAAACTTATCAGAGCAACAGGAGAAAGGGGACTGTGAATTCTTGGATCCCCACGCCCCACCTTCACCTTTCCTTCCTCTCCCAGGGGCTCAAAGTCTGGCAGAAGGAAGTAGGGGCACCAACTGTCTGGGCAGCCTTGCTGGGAAGATGTGGACGCTCCTGCTCCTGGTGGCCTTTCTCCTGTTCCCCAGGGCTCGGGCAGGTGAGTGACCATTCCCACCCTCAGGGGCCCAACTCCATCCCATAGACTCTGAAGCCAGACCACCCAGACACTTGCTAGCCCTGTATCACTGGGCAGCTTGCATGACTCCACAGATTCTCAGCTTCAGATTCTGAGGGCAGAAATTATATCAAGCCTACCTGGAGAGTCGCTGTGAGAGCTAAGTGACGGAGTGTACATAAAGCTCTCAGAACCACCCTGGCACGTACTACTGGCTGTATAAATGTGCTCTCTGAATTGAGTTTGCAGCTCCTGTGTCAGAGCCTAGGGGATCAAGATACAGTGATTTCAGGCCCATCAGCTCATCTCTAGATCCTTAAATTCATGAGTTGGACTCACAGGCATCTGGAAAGTTCCCTGAGGAAGAAAGTGCCACAGAACTTCAGGGACAGGCCCCTCCAGAGAGCTCTGGGTTTGCCATCCCCACAGCAGAGAAACCCTCCTGTGAGGGAGGCCGCACCTGGCCCTTCCTTCCAGGCAGGTGGGAGGGCGCTGAGGCTGGATGGAGAGCCAGCAGCACTTCCTGCAGGGTCCTGGAGCCGCCCCCAACTCTGCACCCTGCAGACCCCATTCTCAGCAACCACCAGCTCACCCTGCCCCTGCAGCATCTCTCCTGCTCCCCAACTTCCAGTCTTTCTGGAGCCACCAAGCTGATGCCCACACACCTGCCAGTGCAGAGATAATCCTAGTGCTTCCTTCCAGGGCAGATCATCGGAGGCCGAGAGGCCAGGCCCCATTCCTACCCATACATGGCATTTATTCAGATACGAACTCCAGTAGGTCGGAAAGTTTGTGGGGGGTTCCTGGTGCGTGAAGACTTTGTGATGACGGCAGCTCACTGCCTGGGAAGGTGACCACTTAAGGGACTTCTGGGCGCCAGCAAAGCAGGTCCAGAAGAGCTCATGAGAGGAGTCACTGAAAGAAGGTGTCTAGCCACGAGTGGGTGAAAAAAAAAGACCCTGTAGAGCTTGGCGGACAAGAAGCAGACCAGTGTGAATGGGGGAGGACCTGATCAAAAAGAACAAGATGGGGAGTTGAAACCTACACACTGGGGCTCAAATTATGACTTCAAGGTATTTTTGCAATCTCTTGTTGGGGAGGCAAAATTCAAAATCTCTATGTCCTCCACCACCTCCAGCTCAAGGCTGAGGAGGCCCAGGGCGCAAAGTTCGGCCCCATAGCCCTCCTGTCTCTGTTCCCTCGGCTGAGGTCTGGCAACCCTGGGTAGTCACTTGACTTGTATTGTGGACCACAGTTCCTGTGGTTCAGACCTTACCTCTAGGCCCTCTCTCCTTTACAGCCAAATGAATGTCATCCTGGGGGCCCACAACATCAGGACATTGGAAGGCACGCAGCAGTGCATCCCTGTGGTCAGACCCATCCCCCACCCCGGATACAGTCCGCAGAGCCACAGCAATGACGTCATGTTACTGCAGGTACCGACCCTCTGGTTCTTCAGCTGGGCGGCTCGTTCCCAGCCTGGGGGCTTCCAGTGTCCTGGGATCAGTGATGGGGAAGCGGGGCAGACCCCCAGGGCGGTGGGGGGCATGGGGAGAGTGTAGAATAGACAGTCCCTCAGTGCCTGCACGCTTCTTGTCAGCTGGCGAACAGAGTCCAGCGTAATCGATTCGTGAGGCTGGTGCCTCTGCCTCAGACTCAGAACAGACTCAGGCCTGGGACCCGGTGCACCATGGCTGGCTGGGGCCTGACTGGCCCGAACATGAGAACAGACACGCTCCAGTGTGTGCAACTGAGGGTGCAGAGGGATGGGGTGTGCAGAAGATGCTTCATGTCATAAAACGACCGAACACAGATCTGTGTGGGGGACCCGAGACAGAGGAAGTCTGCCTTTGTGGTAAGACCACGGCATCTGCCAACACTGACAGCGGACCCTGGGCAGACTGGGCAGTGGGACGGACCACATTCCCGTGGCTGCAGTCTGGGGCCTAGATCAGGGGGATGTGGGGGGTGCTTTCCCCCATCCATCCAGTCTCTGGGTGAATAGAAGGACCAGACACACAGGATGTTCATGTGCAGTGTTTTCCTGGGGCCAGTGAAGGTACCTCGACCTGGGTTGGGCTGGAGAAGCAACCACAGTTAGGGCTGAAGCCCGGTGATGGGAAAATTCAGGAGCTTTTCTTCTGCACCCCACCACCCTCCCATCTCACACACACCAGCACTGCAAGGAGCTCTCCTCAACCCCTGTCCTCTCTGAGGGTTGGGAGAGGGGCAACAGGAGTGGGGAGGCCTGGACAACGGAGGGTCCCTTCCCTCCTCTGCCTGTAGGGGGACTCCGGGGGCCCCCTCGTGTGTAACAATGTGGCCCAGGGCATTGTCTCCTATGGAGACAGGATGGGGACCCCTCCAGCAGTCTTCACCAGAATTTCCAGCTTCCTGCCCTGGATAAGGAGAACAATGAGACGCTTCAAAGAGTGGAGACCAGAGTGACATCCCGAGACTGAGTCTCCTTCTCTGGGGCAGAGCCCAGCTCCAGGGCAGTTCCCAGAGCCTTAATAAACGCCCTAGTCTGGAGTGGAAATGACTGATTTCTAATGTGTTCATTAAACATGATTCGTGTACAACAAAGTGTGCCAGGACTGAGGGTAAACTTCATCAGGAAGATGGGATCTCTTTCTCAGGACAAGTGAATCCCGATTCCTACTGTCCTGGGGTCAGCAGAAGCTTCTTCCCTCCTCCAAGCCATCCATTCCTCCATGTCCCTTGTACCCACAGCCTGGGGATGGATGGAGGGACCTACGTCTTCCCAGAGTAAGGTTCCTTGTTCTCCAGTCTACCAGAGATGCCCCCTTAGGTACCTGAGAACCACATGCCATTGGCCTGGGTAGGACATAAAAGACAAAGGAACAATTGAAATTCCATATGAGGCTCAATTTAAGAATAAACGTGGCAGTGCAAATCACTGGAAAACAATGCATTTTTAATAGATTGCAATGAAACAAATAGTCATTTGGGGAAAAAAGATAAAATTGGGTCCACATCTCATCATAAACCTAAATAATACTCAATGGGATCAAAGATCTAAATGAAAATATCAACCATAGAGAAATAGAAGAAAGAAAAAAATTTATTTTTTAAAAATATCTAACAAACACCCATATCAAAGCTGTGCTATTCACAATGGCCAAGAGATGGGAGCAACCCAAGTGTCTATGGAAAGATTCTTTCTCCAAAATCATTTTCCACACCAACCCTCTGTGCTGTAGACCAGTGTTCTCATTTCCATGTGATGAGGGTCTCCTTCTGGGTTTATTACTCGATAGTTATACAAAACTCCACATAATATGTTAGCTAAAATAACATGACTTTTACTGTAAAGATGAGCCTGTGGCTAATATACCAATATTATATTCAAATAATAGATTTCTGAAGTCACATAGTTTAAAACCATGCTTTAACACTTTAGGTAACTATAAAGAGCCAACTGGAGGGTCTTCTATATTCATCAAAATGTTTACTGAGTTTCCCTGATGGTCTGCTGGTTAAGAGTCTGCCTGCCAGTGCAGGGAACAATGGTTCGATCCCTGGTCTGGGAAGATCCCACGTGACGCAGAGTAACTAAGTCTGTGCACCGCAGCTACCGAAGCCCACATACTTAGAATCCATGCTCTGCAACAAGAGAGGCCACCACAGTGAGAAGCCTGTGCACTGCAACAAAGAGTAGCCCCCACTCGCCGCAACTAGAGAAAGCCCACACATGACAACAAAGAGTCAGTGCAGCCAAAAATAAACAAATAAATCTTTAAAAAATGTTAATTACTCCTTGCCGTGTGATATTTCCCACCTGAATTTTTGCAGTTTCCATAATCCTGAATAATCACTGAACACATATCAAATCTGACTGATGTATACAAAAATGCTTTGGTAAATTTGATCATATTTTTATAGAATATCTTGCCAGAAGGTCATTTGCCTAATATTCAGTGTGAGTCATTTATCAACAAAATTTTAATCAGTGATACATCTTTGAAAGTAATTAGTCATTTTTTCCCTTTATTTGCTACCACCCACCCATAGGAATTATGTCTTGCTTGTATGTTCTAGGGGTAAACAACCTTATTATTAAATGTTTGCATTGCCAGGTGGAAAGAATACTTGACGGTGGAAGGGGGGAGGCGAGAGCAGTGAAGAGCCCCCATACAGTCCCTCCTAAGCTCAGTGATATATATTTTGAGCCCCAGAGCACCACCCAACTCAAGACTCAGTCCTCAGGAAACTCCCAGTGCAGTCCTATCTCCCCACCTAAGGATCTCCCAGCTATTGAGCCCCTTCAAGGTAGCTGCCTGCCTTTAGCAGCCCTGCTGGAAAGGTTCCTACAGACCTCACCAGGCTCACCTCCAGAGGACAATTCTCTTCTTGACCATTCCAAAAGTCAGGTCCACCACCTCTCACAGCTTAGCACCCTCCCCTATTAAGTAAATCTCAGCAGCAGAAGTTTGGCGTGGGTCCAAAGTTTACTTAAGAAAATTATTCCTTGTTATGTTCTCCACAGGCACTGGACTCTGATCTCTCAAGTACTAGCCAGCCCTCTCTCAATCAGAAGGTACTGTTCTATTTTCTCCCGGTCCCACTGGCCATAGGACCATTCAGCCTGCTGCTCTCAGATCTATCTGGATCCCGTGGCTTGGTTTAGGTTATCCCATCTTATTCTCTGAAATGAAGTCTGTCTCCCTGGGGCTTTCTAGTCATCCATACACCTCAGTGAATTATAGTGTTTGACTAACTTGAGTTTCTTCTGGAATCTCTGTGTTACTGTGACTTACCAAGTTATTTAAACTCTGTGAGTTCCTTTTTCATCCTTGGTATAAGGAATCCCCACAGAATTCTGAGGATAAAATGACACAGTACATTTACAAATTCCTTCCAAAGTACCTGGTGTGTAAAAATATTTCAATAAATATTAATCATCACTTCTGTTTCTTTTACTTCTTCTGTCCCAGCTCTGGAACCACAGGAAGAAATTCACCCCAGGCAGCCTGACAGTCCTTAACTTAGGAGAGCTATCATGTCTAGTGTCCTGTCAGTGTAACTCTCTTCTTCTGAAAAAAAGAACACCTCCAGCTCTTCACCTGTTCTCCTAAAGATATTCAGGAGTCCATTCACTCCCAGGATCCTCTCTGGTGGAAATTCTACTCCAAGTCAAAGACTGGGACCTCCCAGACCAAGCCATAAATTGAGTTTTCTCAAACCTCAGGATCAGGACTAGGGCTGTGGCTTCTGGAAGCAATTCCACAAATATTTCCACTGCGTCCTCCATTCTTCTCAATAGGTGAAGTTTGTAGAAAGGCTAGAGAAGGAATGCCCAGATGGGGGCAGTCACTTTGAACTGAGGCTATTCTTCATTTGAAAACAAGAACAGGTGCCCTCATCAGGCTTCGGATATCTCTCAGTTGTCCCAGATGAGTGAGGATATTACTTCTCACCTCTTTCTCTAGCTCACAAGATGCCCAAAGTATGGAGAGCGAGGCCTCTCCAGCCTCCCTGTGCACATGCAGGAAAAGGTAGGAGGAACCTTGGCTCCACCTGGTTGTCGGGGGCTGGATGAAGACGGGCAGGCTTGTTTGTGATGGCTTGTTCCCTCTGCAGCTCCCTCTCCATCCCTGTTCTCTGACAGTCTGTTTGCACAGGTTTCGCCTGCTACCTGTGTAAAGGTGTAAGTGATAAATGAGATTCAAGACTGACAATGCGATCATGCTCAAGGCTCTTGCATTTATATAAGAATCTCTTGCAAATTCATGGGATACAAAGTAGAATGGTGATTTCCAGGGGCTGGGGGGAAGGGATAATGGGGGATTACTACTTAACAGGTTAAGAGTTTCAATTTGGGAAGGGGAACATTTTTTTTAAGATGGATAATAGCGGTGGTTGCACAGTGATGTTCATGTACTTAATGCCACTGAACTGCACACTTAAAACTGGTTAATAGGTAAATTTTCTATTATGTATATTTTACTACAGTTTAAAAAGTAATTTAAAGAAAGAATTTCTTGCAACTCTTCTTAAAAGGTTCTAATAATAGAAGACATTATTTGGAGAAAGTGGGCAGCTACCTCTTCTGCACACAGACAGCATTGTTGGAGTTACTTTTCCCTTAAGAGCACTCTGGTTTTTAGATCAAGGAGAAGAGGCCCCATGTCTGAATGACGTTATAGACCCCAGAAGTAACTCCACCCCAGTAGTTCTTATGTGTGAACATAACACAGAAGGAGAAGCTGTAGGAGAGAATGAGCCAGAGGTGCTATCTGAAGAGAGGCCTGGGCTGGAAATAAAATGATGAGATCTAGGATAGAAAGAAAGGAGGAGAGGGGGAAATCACGCCTATTCTTCCATGATATTGATACTCTATCCTACTTGGAGTTCACTGAGTTTCTTGGTGTTGAACGTTAATGCTTCACACTTTTTCATCAATATTGTGAAATTTTCACCCATAGTTTATTCAAAAATTTTCAGCTTTTTATTTTCTATTGGAGTATGCATGCGTGGGCATGCTTAGTTGTGTCTGGTTCTTTTGTGACACATGGACCCAGCTTGCCAGGCTCCTCTGCCTGTTTTTAAGGCAAGAATACTGGAATGGGTTGCTATTTCCTCCTCCAGGGGATCTTCCTAACCCAGGGATCAAACCTGCATCTCCTTCATTGGCAGGCAAGGCTTCTTTACCACGGAGCCACCAGGGAAGCCCTATATTGGAGGAAAGCTAATTAATAATGTGATTTTTTAGGTGCACAGCAGAGTGACTCAGCCATACCTATACACGTATCCATTCTCTCTCAGACTCCCTCTTTACATTCTTTCCTTGCTCCTTGCTCTGTCTCCTCTCCTGCTGGGACTCCCTACTTGTAAGTTGCATGTAGGATCTCACACATCTGAAACTCTATTTGTTTTTATTCTTTTTTTACTTCTGTTCACTGAAAAGTCCTAAAGCAATTCCAGATTTGTTAGTGATGACTTCACAGGGGTAGCCAGCTACTCTCCTGGAATAACAGCCAAGCTCAGACACAGGTGCCTTCTGCCCTTGGTCCAAGCAGCAGAGCTAGATGTGAGTCAGGTGAGACAGGAGGAGGCGGGGAGAAGGAGAGCAGAGAGAAATTGCTGATCAACATTATGTGGATCCACGGGGAGCCCTGGAGAAGGGAGGCCTGAGTCATGTGTGGGGTGGAAGTGTGGTCCAAGGTGGAGTCCAAATAGCTCAGAGGAAAGCTGTCTGTCAGAACAATATGATGGCACTGCCAAATGCACAGGAAACCAGCTACAGAAATTGTGAAAACTCTCATGGTTCCATGACAAGATGCATTAAAATCATAAACACCTGTTTTGGGCTAAAATAATAGCTTATCATCTTTGATTTTCTATACTTCCCCAAACACCGTAAATAATATTTTACAGGTACACTAAAGCCCAATATGTCAACACACTGGTTTAATAAATTACTACAACACTGCTGAGAGTACTTGGGGTTTGCAAATTGGTGGTGGGGAAGAGAGGTAAACCATCAAAGGT